CCACCATTGCTGATAGGGCTGGACACAAATGTACGACTACATGTACTAATGTACACTATAATGATCATTATAATCTTATTATACCTATAATGGGCATAATGTACATGTACATGTATAATGTATGTAAGGTGTACATTTATACTGTAAAGTGGATTAGTATGAACGTAATATAATAAGTTACTCATTATTTGTGTGTAGTGAGTCATTCTGTAGCTATTGATAGTAAATTTGCATGAGTATTTATAGTGAAGTGGTAGCTGCCAATAGTTCTTGGCTATATACGTGTAACTAATCAGTCACGTGATCAAAGAATCTTTTAAAGTGTTTCATCAATATTTGATCATTGACACTGATATTAATCACTGATACTGATACTGATATTTGATCATTCATCATTAACATAGATACTGATATTAATCATTGATCATTGATCATTAGGTGATCATCTGATACTAGAGGACATCACCCACAGGTTCACTCATCCTTGCATACTTGATCTAAAGATGGGTCAGAGGGTCTGGGACGACCACGCCCACCCCGACAAGATAGAGAGAGAACTCAAGAAGTACCCAGCACAAGAAAGACTGGGTTTCAGAATCACCGGAATGAGAGTGAGTGAAGAGAAGTGTATTATTACACTGTGGTGATCTCTCTCCCTCTCTTTAGATATACAAGCCATTCACTGATGACTATGTCTATTATGATAGATATTATGGTCGCAGTGTCACTGAAGATACTGCTTTATCAGGTGCATACCATACATGTAATACAAACCAGTGCTTTATAATTATTTGCTTCTCTCTTTCCCCCCCCTCTCTCTCTTTTATTTCCTTCCTCATAGCAATCACAAAGTTCTTTGAAGTGGGTGATGGGTCTCACCGCACTGACGTTGTGAACTGCATCATGGATAAACTAACAGAGTTCATCAATTGGATGGAGAAGCAGAATACCCTTAGCCTCTTTGCCACTTCCCTCCTCATAGTTTATGAAGGCGGGCCCACTCCAGCTGCTGGTGATAAGCAGCAGACTCAAGTTGATATCAGATTAGTTGATTTTGCTCACACGTACGAGAAGGAACGTGATGATACTCAAGACGCTAATGCTTTGTTTGGCGTCAGAAATTTTACCCAATACCTCGAGCATTTCCTAAAGACTGCAGGGCAGTAGTTTTATTCCAGATTTTTTGATAAAAGAGAAGAATTGCTATACTGGATATAATTATTATTACTTATTATTATTAATTTATTATTATTTGCAGATTTTTCCTACTGTTTTACTTATTAAAATGCACAATCTCTCACTGGTAGTTTATTAAATAATGCTCTTTCTTTCTTTTTTTCTAATTTGCAATGCCAATCAAAATAATAAACGTTTTAGTTTTTTAATGTGAGGCACCGCACATGTTGCAGTGAGCCACACCTCTGCATGGTACCAAGAGTAGATAATAATAGAAGAGAGTGTCCTACCATAGATATTATACGTACATGGATTGGAAACAGGGCAAGACCGGATGGTCACATGCTCTTTTCGCAGGAAGTGACATCATTACCCACGTGGAAAAATGTGACAGTATTACTTGAAGGCTGAAGCATTAAGCAAGTATTTTTAAGACTGTTCTGGAAATATTCTCAACATGAGAATTTTAATTTAAACTCCAAAGGTGAAGGAAACAAAGGAGAGGAAATATAAAAGAGAGAAAATATACATACCAATAATATTTGAAATTTAATTTTATT